GGGTTTAGGGGTTTAGGGTTTTGGCCGCTCTTTTGGCTGCACTTTTGGCCTTGCTCCTTGAGCTTGTCATCGAGGTCGCCTCCATCGCAATACTCCAGAACCTTGAGGCTTCTGAAGATTGAAGCCTACCACACACGACACTCGAGGATGGCTCTGACATGCGACTGAGCTGGGAGCAATCGAGATGTTCTGACTGTCTTCGAAATATGTATACAACTTGGTGACATTTTCATGATCACAGGCTTTGAGTATGTCAATTTCCAGTTGGATTTCCGATCGTTTTGCCCCCTGCCAGTATGACTGAAGCTTGTCGATCTGCTTCACAGCCACGAAGTGGTTGGTCTTCTTGTCGACGGCCCGCCACACTGTGCCAAAACCACCCTGTCCAAGCTTCACCTTCTGCTGAAAGTACCTCGGCTGACCTAACTCTGCTGATTGAAGCTTTGAAAAGACGTGGTCACATGAAAAAGACCTGGTCACATGCCACCAGGGGGCGCATCATCCACGCTTTGCCCGATGCCCATTCACCTTCGGGCACAGTCAAGCTCCGGAGGCTCCAGCCGTGGTCCACTTGGCTTGGCCATTGCAGTTTAGGGTTTAGGGTTTAGGGTTTAGGGTTTGAGGTCTAGGGTTTGGGGTTTAGGGTTTGGGGCCTAGGGTTGAGGGCACCCGGATCAGTCTGAAGGGTCCAACGACTTGGAACACTGTGGCATGGAGTCTGTCTAGCCAGCTTCTCGTTGCTACGGATGTTGACGAACCTAATACTCCTAAACCGGCTATGAGTTTAGATCGATACGGACATTGAGGCATCATTGTCATGCTTGCCGTGCTTGCCAGTGTCCTGTCGCATGAGCCAGGAAGGCGGAGGACAGTGGCTCTGGAGCAGCAAACTGAAGAGTGTAGCTACGAAGCTACCCCTACCCCTTGTCCCAGCAGCACCTCACGAACCTCAGGCCACATCAAAACAACGCAGAAGCGGGAGGACAGCTCTTTTGCAAAGAGCCATCGGGGAGTACCCGGAACAGAATCAAAGCTTCGCAAGTTCAGCTCACTTCTGGAAACTACAGCAGTGCTGCATGTCCATCTCGTCAGCTGGTAAGAGCTTCTATAAGCATCGCTGATCACACCAGAGTGACATCTTCCACTTTTTTACTTCAAAGTCACTCTGGCAGGACAACATGCTCAAGAGCGGATACTCCTATCACTCCAATAGGATGCAAAAATCCCGGGAGCCAAGCTCACCATCCGGTGGAGAGTTCAACATGCGCACCCGCAGAATCCACGGAGACATGGGTAGTTCTCTAAATTGGGGTCCCTTTTTAGGTCCCCAATTTAATACTGCACCCTTATAAAAAGGACCCCAAAAGGGACCCTAATTTAGAGAACTACCCACATGCTTACACGCAACCTAGGCTCAAATCACAGGACCAGGAATGCGGGTGCAGCTGTTGAAAGCCCCGCACGCATTTTGGGATGTCGACCCACAAGAAGAGGCAGAACCAAGTTGCCAGAGACTATTGCACTGTGTCTTGGAGGACAAAGAGTCTTGGCTGCTGCCACAGTCAGCAAGAGGAACCGAAAATGAACAGAACGCTGGCGCTTCCAAATAAGCTGCCGAGCTCAACTTCGCTGTTGGCACATTGTCATTGACATTATTAGTCGTAATCCCCGTTTATGCTCCCTATCAAACACTCACCAAACTATACTAGATGATACCACCCAAAACACTATTCCAATTAAGACTCCAGGGTGTCCCAGGCGTCTCACTTTCGCCAGGCCTCTCTCGCAGCGTAGTCCACCTGCCCTGTATCAAGACGGAGACAAAAGGGGTTTGGGGCTTAGGATTGAAGAAACAAGCTGAAATACAACTCGAAGCCTACAACTTGAAGGACTCAGCCCAGAGTATCGGATTCATTGTTTTTGTTAGTATCGTTATTGATATTATTCTCTTCCTTATTTTGTTATTATTTCCATGACAACTGTTATTATTTAATAGTAGTAGTAGTAGTAGTAGTAGTAGTAGCAGCAGCAGCAGCAGCAGGAGTAGTAGTAGTAGTAGTAGTAGTAGTAGTAGCAGTAATAGTAGTAGTAGCAGCAGCAGCAGCAGTAGTCGTAGTAGTAGTAGTGTAGTAGTAGTAGTAGTAGCAGCAGCAGCAGGAGTAGTAGTAGTAGTGGTAGTAGTAGTAGTAGTAGTAGTAGTAGTAGTAGTAGTAATAGTACAAGAAGAAGAAGTAGTAGTAGTGGTAGCGTAGAAGGCAGCAGTAGCAGTAGTAGTGGTAGTTGTAGTCGTAGTCGTAGT